CATCAGTGAGTGATGGCGTCCGATGACAGGTTCACGTACTTACACGTTCACGCAGACTGTGCGTCAAACGGGGCACAGAAGCGGATGCGATATGTCCCATCCTGCTATGCCTCCGACATCGTCATCAAGGGCGGGCACAAGCTCGTAGGGTGGCCGGCGGACGTACCGTTCACGGATCTCAGCAATGTCCGCGGCGGTGTCAAGACACTCCATGAGCTCCATCGGCGGTGGTACCTACCCGAGGGACACCCCGACAAGCTGCGCTTCGAGCCCGCCTCGCGCGAGGACCGGGCGAATGCCGCGCGTGATCCTGCGAGTGTTCACCCCACGCCCCAGCACCTTCCCCAACTGGTGGAACGGGCAGCTGCCCGCGCGGCGAGAGCCTTCCCCGTTGAGGTCGATGCCTACCGCCCCGACAACATGGAGCATGTAGGCTGCCAGTTGACGTCAATGGTGCCGGAGCCCAAGGAGCAGCGGGCGCAGCGGGTGGACACGGGGAAGCGGCGGGCGCGGAAATCGGACACGTCGACGAAGGTGCGGAAGAGGCGGCAGCAGAAGGGGATCACAAGCAAGCGGTTTGTGCTGCCAGGGTCGAACGGTCGGGGCAGCAGCGGCGGGGGCAAGCGGACGTCGAAGCGAAAGCAAGTGGACGACTATGCCCTGGACGACCCGATCACTGAGTTCAGGTTGACGGCCTTCTGAAAGGGTGAGCCCTCTGAACCGATCGAGCCTTGGACAGCGAGTGGGAGATGAACCGGGTGGATTGGGTGTGGGTGCGGAGTGTGCGGCGTTGCAGGGTCTGATGGGTTGACAGATTCGCACTAGATTGGACTATCTACCAGTAATATCCGCTATCCAATCTACCGGGCTGCGCGGAGGAAGCCAGGAAGGCGGCGAGGCGGGCGCAGCGGTCGTGGAGGAGAAAGAAGGACCGCTGCGCGAACCCTACACACGTGGGCGCTACGAACCACGCCACCTGCCAGATTGGGCACGGATCTCGACGCGGATTAGGGTCTCTGCGGGAGCATCCTTTCGCTCGTTACAGCGTCCGTTCTAAGAGTCGTTCACAGGCTAGCAGTACAGTCATAACCAAATAAATATCGGGGCGCCAGTCGCTGATTATCTGCGCTGTTCGGGGGATTAGGACGTGCAAGTCAATCCGTGGGCGCCGGCTGGACTACCCTGAGCTGCCTAATCGAGGTCCGAAGGCTGGCCTCACCCTGAGATTGATTCATGAGGTAGATTTACGTGTCAAGCCGAAGAAGCGATGGATCGGGCAGGGCAAAAACTCACAAATAAATTCTGGCCGGTGCCCGTTCCGCCGTGTTCTCTTCTCCCCACCAGCCACCTCTGCCTACTACTTGCCGACTCTCCTCGCCGACGCTCGTCGCCGATGCTTTGTCAATATTTCCCGCCTCTTCCGTAACCGTCCTACTCGCCTCGACGCCACATGCTGCCCAGTGTCTGCGCTACTGCTTTGTACCTCCCATAACTCGACGCCGCCACCACTCGACGCTGCACGTGGGAGTCGCACATCAACGCCAGGGGTAGTCGCCACGGTACAAGCTCATTAGCATAGCAGATCACAGGATAGGCCAGTTCCCAGTGGTTTTGAAGACAGCGAGGCGGGTCAGCGGAGCATGTCGAGAGAGACCAAGATCAAGATGCAGACCGAGAACCGTGCAGCACGAGTGCAAGGCCTCCCGGGCAACACACAGCTCGGCAGACAGCAGACAGCAGCACCGTGGCAGACAGAAACCAAGGTCGGTGAGTGAGGCCAAAAGGATGAGCAGCATGGTCGAGACCTGATGGATCTTGTGTCTAGAGCGATGCAAGAGAGGACCGGGCGGCTGGAATTCACGTGAGAGGGGCGGGAGGCATTGTTGGTGTGTCTGCGTTGTTGGGAGACACTACGGAGGTGTCACTGAGGTAAGCATGTGTGCGTGGGTCAGATTTCGCTGACTTACTGACTAGCGCAATCGCACACGGCGTCCTGTGACAAGGTGAGTGCTGTCTTTGCGCGTGTGCAGGGGGCATGGCACCTCGAAGGTGCGAGTGCGCTATGGGGGCGAGCACGCAGTCGCGCTCTAGGAGGATGTCAGAGGGCGGTGAGGTGGGCAGCGAAGTGGGCGGGTGGCGCAAACACCGTTTCACGTCGCCTGGAGATGGCGATGTTCTGTGGAGGTAAGCACACGTGCATCTCATCCAGATTTGCGCTGAACACGTACCTAGTACACGATACGAGCACATTAGCAAAAACGCGTCAGACAGGTGCTGCGTCAGGACGGCGCGGCTACGCTGTCGAGGTACGCCCCTACACACTCTCATCATGCTCACGCTCATCATGTACCAGGACGGCGCCGACAGCGGGAGAAACGGCGCAAACAGCGAGGCGCGGGGGATGCAGCAGCGCATTGGCTGAAAAGGCGAGTGTCACGCTGTTGACACGCGTACCTGACTGAAGTCCGACGGTCCCGCGCCGCCGGTGATCAACCCAAATTCGCGCCGTACGTGGAGGCCGCCTGGAGCGTCGAGGAAGGCGAGCAAGTGGAGGTAGCGGCGCATAAGATGGGGATGGCGTGAACGCTGTTGACATACTGCCTGCGCGGGAACTGAATGCAAAGGTGAGCATGGGCGGATACAATCTGGACTTGCACTGAGTGCGTACCAAGTACGCGACGCGGGCGCATCAATAGTGGGCGCTGGGTTGGGATGTGCCACGGTCTGGCGTGATTGCACGCTACTTGACAAGGCGGTTGCGCTGTCAGGTAAGGGTCTAGTACGCCCTCCTGCCATGCTCGCGCTTGTCACGTACTAGAATGGCCGCAACAGTGACACAGAGGACGAAAACAACGGGGCGCGGGGGGCGCAGCGGTCTGAGTGTTTCGGCTAAAAGGGTGAGTGTGACACCCTCGACGCGCGTACCTGGCTGAGTCGATTGGCCCCAGTCCCATGCCGCCGGCAATTCAGCCGAGTTCGCACCGTACGCGAGGGCGTCCGAGAGCCTCGAGGCGGGTGACGAAGCGGAGGCGACGCGACGCGAGCCAAGACGAGCCAGGCAGTGGGTGGTGGCGGTGCGGGAGTGAGAGGCGAACGGCCGCGGGTGGGGACGACTTCCTAGACAAGGTACGGGCGCCAGATTCTGCGCTACTCTCTCTTTCGCTCTTGCGGCCGTCTGGTGCTCGCGCAGAAGACGCGGGCGCGCGGAGAAGTACACTCGTCCGGTGCGGCTGTATACGGCGCGTTTCGCATTGTTTCATAAGTATATTTTGGCGTTTGTGCACATTTCGGGAGGCCGTTTGAGTGGAACGGCCGGGCCAGGACGGGGTGCAACCGGCTACTAACGACACACTTTTTGTCTCAGGGCACAATTTGAGCGCGGGGAGCGATGTCCAACGAGCTCGGAGCGTCGTTAGAGGTGAGTACGCACAATTTTCTTTGGATATTTCATGCCCTAACATGCCCTGCAGGTGTGCAGACGACGTATTTGTGCACACAGGCGACTTCTCGCGCACCGGACTCCCGCGCGACATCGACTTGGCGTCTCCTCCGCGAAATGAGCCGGTCGCGGACAGCAGCGACGTGCGATTTGCAAATGTGCGAGATGTGCCGTGCACGCATGACCCGGACGAGTCAGCAGAACGGGCGAGGATCCGCATGGCAGGCTGTCCAGCCGTAAACCAACACCGCGAGTGCGAGCGCAGGCACAGAAGACTCGAGTGCGGGAGCTATCCGCGCGGCGCGGGAAAGGATTTTCGCGTCCACGCTGCGAGCGCGGATTTGGCAAAGTCTGTGCGCGGACTCGCGCCGTTTACCTGGTTCTGGGAGTCGCAGTGCGCGATTTTCGCGTCCGAATGCGTGCGGGTCGTCTGCTGAGCCTCTCGAGCGCGCGTGTTTTGCCTTTTCGCTGCCAAACGGGTGTATATTATTGCATTGGGTGCTACGATACAATTCCCGGCCGTTCGACACGGCCGTGCGGTGCTTACAGAAGTCCTCAGTTGCCCCCGTCTCCCACTGTCCTCCTAAGCCCCCGTGTAGTCTACGAAGACCCGCTGTAGTGTACCAAGTCCCCCTGTAGTGTACCAAGTCCCCCTGTAGTCTACGAAAGCCTCCCTGTAGTACCAGAGTCAGTAATTCCTGTTGCAGGTACTCACCTCGCGTCCCGCATCCACGTGCACTCCGGGCCGCGCACGAGATGATGCCGCCCGCGCCGGCTTGTGCGGCACAAGGTGAGCGAAACCCTTGTAGAGGTGAGGACGAGGACTTACAGGACTGCAGGCACGCGTCCGCGATAGGCTTGAGCACCCACCTGCGCATGAAGCGCACATGCCATAGGTGCTCCTTGCGCTTCGGGAACCACGACAGCGGGAACAGGACCGGGGCCTGCCCAGATAGTTGCAGGATGTGGAAGCACACCTTCGGCCACACGCTGTGCTTGAACA